TTCTAAAAACTTAGAGTCAAGAGTCCAAGAAAGGTAGTTTATCTCGAACAAGCCACGCCAAAATCCAACTCATTGAGGGTGAAACATCTCTAAATCGACGTAGTTAAACTTGAAATTAATTTCAAGGAAAAAACAAGTCAAAGGAAATCAACCCTAAGCCCGCGACTAAAGAACTTGAAAGGGACAATAAGTCTAAGATCAAAGTTTATCATTGCATTAGATTTCCTTGCAAAAATCAGATTCAAAATCCCAAATCGACGAGGTTAAATTTGGAAAAATCCAAGAAAAAGCATGTCGGGGAAAATCGGCCTTGAGCCAACGACGAAAAATCGAAAAGGATGACAAATCTGAAATCGACATTAAACATCGCATAAAGATTTTCTCGCAAAAATCCGAAAAGCTTCTAAAGAAGCGAGCTACGCATAACTTGGAGCAAGTTCGGATCCCAAAGTTCAACTAGGATGAATTAAATGACTCCACAGAAATATAACAACCATTGCTCGAAAAAGAAATGTTGAAAACGTTTTCTTTCATTAATTTGAGCTCGATTACAAACGGGCAATAAAAAAAAAAAAAAACAAAACAAGGAATTCTTCAGGCTGATGGAGGAGCCGGAGCTTCATCCTCGACCTGCCTAGGAAGGTCGACACCCTCAAGAAGAGATGGCTTGTCAACAGGAGGAGCGATGAATTCTACTCTGAGATCGGGAACCTCGGCTGGTGGCATCATGTTCAGGAGAGTCGGATCCTCGACCTGGGGTTGGGGCTCGACCTCCCCCTCGCCTCTTTGGACCTCGCCTTCTCCCTCGGACTCGTGCGAGTAAACATAGACCTCCCCCGGGCTTCAACCATCATCCTTTCAACTTCTTTCTAGTAAGATCGGGGAAGGACAGAGAAGTCGATTAAAGGATGAGCTTCCCATAATTTCAAGACAAGGAAGATAGATGTTTCCTAAGCCCGAGCAATAATGGCCTCGTTCAGTTCATCGACCTGAAGCCTGAGCTGCCTAGCCTCAGCCTCAGCCTTAGCCTCAGCCTCGGCCTCCTGGCGACCTTTCACTTCCTGGCCTAAGTCGAGTGAAGACTTTTTGGATTTGGCCTCCCAGCTCGCGGCAGCTTTCTAAGCCGAGGATAGCTCAAAGTTCAGTTTATTGTTGGCACCCTATTGCTGCACCAAAGTCTTCACGACCTCTACTGCCTTAGCCTCCGCCTTGGCCTAAGAAGCCTCACTGGTTTTGAGTTTGTCAAGGAATTCCCTTTCCTTGACCTGGAAGGTCGTGACTTCCCCCCTGAGTTGCTCGAGCTCAGCAAGCCTGACTTCTTTCTCCTTCTCAACAAGCTCAGCCCTAACCATAACATTTTCCTTCACCGTCTCTGCAGCTTGCCATTTCCAGTGGTTCGCCACTAAGTTGTTATTACATTCCTCGTATAGAAGTCTGCTTGCCATGGAAACTTGAAAAGAGGATCCGAGGAATCAGCAAGAAACAAGAATAACCCGCAAAAAGAAAAGGGGGGTACACAAACTATCGGTACCTTTGCCGCATAGCTGCAGGTTAAAGCCAACATCTGGGAGAGAGACAAGTCCCTAACAGCCGCGAATGTTCGCAAGGTGACACAATCCCTAGCCACTGTGGCCATAATGCCAATGTGATCGGGAAATCGATCGATCAGCTCATCGACAGTGGCTTGGACCGCTTCGTCCGTTTCATTATTCCTTAGCTGGGATGAGCTAGGTTTGCTCGCCTTAAGAGCACTTGCCTCGCCAGTAGGAACAGCTTTCTTCTTAGCTAAGCCTTTGGCCGCTTCCTTCCGAAAGTTGCCAGCTTGCGTGGCGACCTCTTTGCCTGAGCCAATTTGCTGCTCAAATGCTTTATTTATTCCCGAACCTCCAATTGGTTTGGATGCCTTCTTCGTTGGCCCCTTTTGAGGCTTTGTAACGTTTTTCTTGCCAACTACCTTAGTGGCAGTCGCGGGCTTCTTCACGCTTGGGCCTTCTCTAAGCTCCCACCAGCACGCTTCGAGCCGACAGTTTTCGATGGTTCTTTCATCGTCAAAGCAGTCGGAGCCTTCGTAGCAGCTGCCAGGGTGACTGCTTTCTTCTTTTTCAGCTTTTCAGCCCATATATCTACCAGGAAAAAAGGCAACAGAATTGGCAATCTACTTTGCGCGGGAAAGCAAACGCGAGCAAGCAACAACTTACCTTTCTCCAAAAGTGCTAAGAAATTGGCCTCGTCCCAACAAAAGCCGTACGCTTTTAGGTGGGGAAGTGTAAGAAGCTCGTTGTCGTTGCACTGACTATCCAAAAGATCGCTAAAATGTTGCAGCCTCTGTAAGCTCGTGGATTGAAGATAACTCTACTAGAAGTTAACTGCAAAAAACAAAACAGGACGATCATTAAAGTATACAGCTCGAAAATAATCCTCGCACATACACGAGAAGCCCGAGCCTTACTCGCTTCTGCAGCAAAGACACCGGTCTCCCTGGCTTTGTAGAAAAAGAACTAGGAGTCCCAGTGTGGAACTTTTTTAGGAACATCAATCAATCCGTTAAAATGTATTCTCCTCGCTTTGGAGAGGTAGTACATCTAGTCTTGCCCTTTTTTGAGCCTGTATAGGTGGACGAGCTCTTCAACAGATGGCTCGCTCAATTCAAAGATCATGTACGCGATGTACATCGCGATAATGATCACGTAAGAGTTGACCATCAATTGAAAAGGAAAGATGTCGAATCGCCTCAGTACGTTGTCGATGAAGTAATGCGAGGGAATGGACACCTTGCACCTAAGAAGAGTCTTAGAGGTAGCTACCCATCTAGGTGGGGGGTTCTTCCGAGAATATTCCCCCGGAACTATCAAGTTAAGCTACAGCACATAGATCGCCCTTATGCATTCGAGGTCCCCGAGGGTAATCGAGGATTGTGGTTCTCTTCATAGCCTATGGATTGGAGACGGCGGAGATTGGGCTAGTTGAATCGAAGCACGATCAAACAAGCCCGTAGTGTCGGGGTCTGAGCTTCGAGCGATGAATTCCTCATAAACCTCTGGGAACACATCCCCAAGGGTTGCTGAGCCTCTTAGCGAATCAAACATTCAGTCTATTGTACGATTGCTAGACGACGACATGGTTGTAACTCAAGTCTGGGTACTTGAAAAAAGAAGCGAACATGTGTTAGAGCTCGAAAAATCAGCGACCATTCTACACTCGCTTCTATTTCAAGCACCCGAGATAGCTCGCGCTATGCGGCGAAAATATACGACCAACCCGAGACTACCGAAGACACCCAAAAAACCCTCCTAAGACCTTAGCACATCCAATATGGCCACTGCAGTAGCCACCCTTGGACGAAAAAAAAAAAAAATCAGAGAAACAAAAGAGAATAAGGGAGAGAAGCCTTACCGGAATTGGGAAAGTGCTGGGAACTCGTGAGAAAAACCATCGTAACAACGTAAGGGCAATAGCGGAGAGCAGCATGAGAGTTAGAATAACTTTTGGAGTGACTATTCTGAGCTTTTTCGCCACCTTTTATAGTGGTTTGCATGGGAGACGAAAGGGAGAGGTTTAATCGTGGCTATCGACTTAAAGTTGATCCTCACCCTTCATTCGTCGAGCAATCTCGACCCTTGGACGTGGCCACATGTCAACCATCCACAGGGAGTGACGAATCGTCAGATTACAGTAATGATAACCATTGCCGCATGTCGCCTTGACTTCGCGCATGAACAGTTATCATTGCCCATGCGCGACGAAACGTAACTGACAAAGGCTGTCGCATTTAATGTGACACGACCACATGGAAATTACCTTTATATCCTGACTTTTCATATTTTGAATTTTGACAGGTACCATGGGGAGTAAAGATCAAAGTGTGAGGTACGTCGGCTAAGCATAAGGTCAACCATAGGGGCTCGTTCGGACATGCACTCAAAGATACGTTGTTGAAGCCGAGCTTGACATCAAACTGAGCAATAGTCTTCGAAGCCCGAAGCGAGCATTGAACACTAGGGGGTAGATGTTGTGTGTGGTTTTTCACCAAGCTCAGGCCAACGCGAGGATATAGCTCGACCCAGAATGAGCTCGACAATAATAATTGATTGACCTAACATAAGCTCGTCGAGCCAAAGCTCGACCCAGCACAAGCTAGTCGCGGACAGTTCAAGAAATCATTCAATCAACCTCCATATTACTTCGGATCCCAGATATTGCAGGAATGACTAAATCAACAGCGATCATTGTGCAATCACAACGCCCAATCGCTAGAATATAGGAATTGCAATTCAGATAAATTGTAATCCCCTTAATTTCACTATTTTCTTTGTATAAATTTTGTATATAAACCCCCTCAAATGATGAGGAAGGGGCTACGATTTTCACATAGGAACTATATTGTAAGCTCTCATAGCAAATATAAAAACAGTGGACATAGGCTTCAGAGTTAACCTCATCGAACTACTTTAAAATTCTCATTGTCTTTATTTTATTACATTCTTTTTACATACGTTGTTGATTGTTCTTTATCACGCACACATCAGTTTCGATCCCGATAAGGTCTGTACCAACACAATAAGAATATTAATTAAACAAACATGATGAAATTATAATTCTTTTATATACAAAAGTTTGTATTATGTGTAATATTCTTGCTTGGAACTCAATCATTGGATTAGGAAAAAAAAAAAAAAAAAAGAGTTAATTTAAGTTCTCAAAGTGATTAATGTCTAACTAAAATAAAATGTAGGGTCATATATTAGCATAATATAAATAATTTTAATATAAACCGAGACACTTATAATATAATTATTTACTGTAAATAAATATTTAATATAAGATTCAAATATTTCAAAAAATAAATTATTAAAAGATAGGATATTTTAGTACTTTAATAGGGCAGTAGTGGTTTCTGATTCGTCCACGTAATCCGTAAGCAACATTATAAGCTACAGTGCGTAGCATAGTAGTATATAACTAGATAAAGAAATCTATCGGATTTCAGATATCAACCAGTTAACGGATAAAACTCACTAACTCAGACAGAGTGAGTGAGAAAGTGAGGAGTTCGTGGAGATGGAGGCAGTGCAATTTTCTGCCGTTGCTTCCCGCCATTTTTCAACGACTAACAGAAGCTTCCATTGCAACCCGAGAAAATTGGCGGGAAAATCGACTAAATTTGTCTCTGCGTGGACCGGTTCCGGCAGCTCCGCTCGCTTGTCGTCGAGAAATTTGTTCACTGTAAGTTCAAAAAGAAACATAACTTTACAATTTTACCCTCTAGTTTTTCACTTTTGATTCTTTTGCTGATATATTATTCTCAGCAAGAGATATGGAGCAGGATAAATTCCAAAAATGTTTCTTTAAGAAGAGATTACAAGAGAAGTTTAGTGAGAGCAGAAATGTTTGGGCAATTAACGAGCGGCCTCGAAGCAGCTTGGACCAAGCTCAAAGGAGAAGGTTTAGCAGCTTTTTTTAATTTATTTAATTTTATTTTTTTGGTTTTTTTTAAATGAATTCGAAAATAGTAATAGAAAAATCATTGTAAAAGAATCACTTTTACTTTTGGCATTTTTTCAATGTTTTAGTTATAAATAAGGAAAAATAAAAAATAAAAAAAAAGAAGAGAAAATTGAGATTGAAAACGAAAGTAAATATAGCCTTAGCTTTTTGGTTTTTATATATATTTTTTTTATTTCTTATTTTTTAAGCTTAACTGTTTTATATTGCTAAAGATGTTGACAGAGTAAGGTTGTTTTGATGTGTTGTGATTCAGAGGTTTTGACAAAGGAGAATATAGTGGAACCAATGAGAGATATTAGGAGAGCTCTTCTGGAAGCAGATGTGAGTGAGTTTGTATAATAATGTGGGAGAATTTTCGTGCGTACATTTAGAAAAATATAATGGTTTCTTTGTATTGTTGACAGGTAAGCCTTCCTGTTGTCAGAAGGTTTGTCCAAGCTGTGAGTGACCAAGCTGTTGGTGTTGGCCTGATTCGAGGAGTAAAACCAGATCAACAACTGGTCAAGGTATAATTTGCTAGTTAACTGTTCTTTCAAAAGAAAATTTTGAGTATTTTTTTTATTTTTTATGGAAAAATAAAATGAATCTTGATGTAGTGTGTATTCTAGTTTGGACTTGATGGTAGTCATGATGATGTAGGACAGAGAGAAGAAAAGAAACACAGATAAGAGGAAGGGGAGACAAATATGAATTAGTTAGTGTTTTAAGGAATAGAGAGAATTGAGCTGTTTATAATAATTCATCATCAGTGTTGGTAAAAATGTAACTTAAAAAGGACAAATTTATAGTGCCCAAGAAGTAATTAATATTCTATTCAAATAAAGAAACTAAATTACGAAAATAGAATTTAAAATATAAAATCTCCTAATATAAACTATAACACATGAATTGGGACCTAGTTTCAGTACTCGTCTGTCTTTTAATTTGATGTGGGAGAGAACCACTGATCTTCTTGCTTGGAGCTTGAAATATTTTGTAATCTCTCTTGTCCTTTTATTATTATTACTTTTTAATGTATTTCACTGAAACCTATCCTATCTTATGATACCAGTTTAACTGGTAAGTCTACACTGCATTATAATTGGAGAAGTTTTATGTGGTTTCAAACCCCATCGGGATTGATTGTTTCTTGTTGTTTTTCCTATAAAAATGGGAGATGTTATTGGTGATGCATTTAAAGATAATTACACTGTGGAGTTATTGTAAACCTCAAACAAACATGTATTATACTTATGATAAAACTTAAAACATACAATTTCTGGTTTGCAGATTGTACATGATGAGCTTGTGAGATTGATGGGTGGAGAGGTGTCTGAATTGGTTTTTGCAAAATCTGGACCCACTGTCATACTATTGGCTGGTCTACAAGGAGTTGGAAAGACAACTGTTTCAGCAAAGTTAGCCTATTATCTTAAGAAACAGGTGCATTCTTAGCCCTCCTTTTTCTGGTGTTGGTATGTACCTAATTCTATGCATACTGAAGACTAGTATTTTGTCTCGTTTTTACTGATGCCAACATAATAACATGGACTGCAGGGAAAAAGTTGCATGCTTGTGGCTGGAGATGTGTACAGACCTGCTGCTATTGATCAACTAGTTATCCTGGGCGAACAGGTATTATAGAAAGTCATATTAGTTAAATTGGAAAATGCCATGCATTGTATCAAGTACTTGTTTTATTTCCCAGTATATTCTCCATTCGTGTAATCATATTTAAGATTTTGAAAGAATAATTTGGTCAAAATTATAAATACTAGAACCTTACTAACTAGAGCTTACTCCAAGATAAAACACCAAAACTTGAACTTATCAATTTGATATGATTTGGTTTGTCATGAAGGTATAATAAGAAGAACATTGAATAGACTGGAATTTAAATTCAAATAGAAAGTATATGAGAAGTCTCTTATCTCTTACTGATGTGTGCTTTTCTTTCTTCCATTTCGATCTTTTCATAAGATTGTTGTGTGCTTTTTTTTCATTATTGCTAGTGATTAGACATTGAAGTTTGAGGTCATTGCAGAAAAATTCATAACGAGAAGGTTTTAGGTAAGAACTACAAGTCACCAAACAGGCCTCTCATTGCATAATCTCAACTCATCTATGATTTTAAAATTGTTGGTGCATTTATCAACTCATCTACTTATTGTCATGGTGTATTTAATGTCTTAACTTTATTTCATGTGTCAACATATGGAAGGAAGAAGCAACAATAGATTTAAATGTGTTCTACACTCCTATTTTAAAGAAAAATTGATGAAATATGTGTATGTGCCATATTTGTACTAATAATTCAATTGACTTCTTACTCAAAAGTTGTAAACTAGTTAATTCTCATATTCAGTGATAACTTTTGACAGGTGGGAGTGGCTGTTTATACAGCAGGGACTGAGGTTAAGCCTTCAGAAATAGCCAAGCAAGGTTTAAATGAGGCCAAAAAGAAAAACGTCGATGTAGTCATAGTAGATACAGCTGGAAGGCTTCAGGTGATGTCTATATAATTTTTATGATGATATATTGGTACTGTCCACCAATTGAATATGCTAATATCTCGATCAGAGCTGCTATATTTTATTTTTCTTTTACTTATTTTAACATAGATAGAAAAAACAATGATGGATGAGTTAAAAGATGTAAAGCGGGTATTAAATCCCACAGAAGTTTTGCTTGTTGTGGATGCAATGACTGGCCAAGAAGCTGCAGGTATTCAGCTTATCTTCTTCTTCTTTTTTCTTTTAAATATTTAAGCTATTTTATTTTTTTACTTAATGCAAAGGTTGATGCATTTAGAGTTATTACTTCAGTGCTCATTAATGAACCGTATGTCATCTCATGATAACTGCACAGCTGAATGGTTATCATCCTTGATGTAGATGGATGCTGTAAATTTTTTATTTATAATTAAATATTACGATACTTTGGTTCCCTCTTGTGTCCTATAACTTGCAAAAATAAATCGTATTCCTTGAGTTCTATTATAACACTTTGTATGATGCAATTTTTTTATGGCTTGCTTATGATTCCTAGCGTACAATTAGGACTTGTATAGTTGCCCTCTTTTGTTCATGTGCATAAGAATATATGTTCATGCATATTCATAGTGCATTAGTGTGTACTACTTCTACTATGCCCATATCTCTCACATGTCTTAATCGCTATTTTGTATCTTTCTATCCATTTGCAGGGTTATTTTGTGTGTTAGTTCTTCATATGCGACCAATAAGTCTTTTGCTTAATTCAGTTCACTATGTACTATCTTTTTGCTCTTTTTCAGGAGTGAAGCTAAATATCACTCTTTTTAATATATACCCAATAGCTATATTAATGGAGCATATACTTTTGATGTTTTATTGTTATATCATTTGTTGCTCTTGACACAGACTTTTTCATCTTAAGCTGTATCCTGTGATAGGATAATTAGCATGCTTTTCTGCACATTGTTTCTTTTTAATTGGTTATCTTACAAAAATCCTGCAACCTCACTTACCAAATGATTCAAATAGGCAATTGTTCTGTTCACTGTCCTAATAATTAGATACTGGCTGTAATCACTGATTTTGGATCCAGTTGTACCTGCTTTGCATTACTTAGTTTGGTTTTCATCTAATTTTTTTTGGTTACTGAGGTAATACAGCTATGATTACTATCTAGATATACTTTAATTACTGCTTCTTTGATTCACAGCCCTGGTCACGACATTCAATATTGAGATAGGGATTACGGGTGCCATTTTGACAAAGTTAGATGGAGATTCTAGGGGTGGTGCAGCTTTGAGTGTTAAAGAGGTTTGACTTGCTGTTGCTTTTGTGTTTTGTTTTATAATTTTATTGTTAAGAAAGTTATAACCTTCTTGTTCCTTTCAGCTTCATTCTTTACCAATGCTGTTGTCATTTGCTTTACTCTGTTACTTTTAGCATCACATACCTTTTCAAAGCTAGATATTTCGTTTTTAATAGTTGTTTACTTCATCAGATTAGAATTTTTCATGTATTCATTCTGTGGTTAAAGTTTGATAATTGTCTATCTTAGACAACGGTAAATATGAGCTCTAGGAACTCATGTGAAGTTCAAGATGATGGAAAACAGTCTAATTTGCTAAAAATGATACCTATTCTCAGCGAAGCTGAACCCAACCAGATTTTTTAGTTTTATCATGTAATATACAGCTAGATGCTTGGGGTCCATGATCCATTTTTGGCTAATTGTTTCTCAATGAAAGACCATACAAACTTCTTCATCTGCTCTCTATATAGTGGTTTGAGTAATAGCGCAATTTGACATATCATCAACATTACCTTCAAGGAGTTTAACTAATTTCTTGAATAAAATGGAAATGATAGTGGAGATTATTTTTTGAAATTTTCAGGGTCAAAATTGTGGCAGTCTTACCCTTTGTAGAATTCCCTGTATCAAGCTTTGAATTTTTTTAATTAGTGCTTGAATGAACCCAGGTATCAGGAAAGCCAATCAAGCTTGTAGGACGGGGAGAACGAATGGAGGATCTTGAACCTTTCTACCCGGATCGCATGGCTGGACGTATCTTGGGAATGGGAGATGTTCTCTCATTTGTAGAGAAGGCACAAGAAGTTGTAAGTTTTAAGCAGATTCCATTTCATAGGTCCATGAAGGGAAATAATCTTATGTATATTCAATTGTCTGTGTAGATGCAACAAGAAGATGCTGAAGAATTACAAAAGAAGATAATGAGTTCAAAGTTTGACTTCAATGATTTTCTAAAGCAAACCCGTACTGTTGCACGCATGGGTTCCATGAGTCGAGTTATAGGGATGATCCCTGGAATGGCAAAGGTATGAATGCCCAATTTCCAAGTTTTCAGTAGTAACACATTTGTTTCTTGCTGTTTTTTTTATATGGTTAGGAATGATTCAGTGGTTGCACTTGCTGCAACTTATTAGTGTACTGATAAACCTGAATAGTGACTGTTGCTGCAATCTAGCTGTCCACCTATTAAAACTGTTAATCGGTGCTTCAGTTAACTCTCTCTATGTATGTGAACAGGTTACTCCTGCACAAGTTAGAGAAGCAGAGAAGAGTTTAAAGATGATGGAAGCAATGATTGGAGCAATGACTCCAGGTCTCTTCTTCTCTCTAATGTTTATTGGACTTAATCTTAGTAGATAAAACTTGACCTAGCATCTTGAACCATATTGTGGTATTATTTCCTATATATATATATTTATTTTATTTCTTTTTACCTATGGACTATTAGTTCGAAACATGCTTTATACATTAGTCTCCATTATGTTCTTTATTTCCATAATGAATATGTGCTTGGCTCCATAATGTAGAGGTTTTAGAAATCCATTTGGGCAAGATGTATCTTTTGTTTCATAATCTAGTGAGAAACATCAATTAATTGGGTGTTCAGCTCATAGAGAAGTCATTGCTTTTGTATATTAGAGTTATATTATCAGTTTGTGCATGACAAATCTGGCTATGCATTAGGTCATTGTGGTTTCTGTTCTAGCTTGAATGTGTTGGATACTTTGTTTGTTCTCTGTTGGTTCTCCATTAAAGTTTTCATAGGCCATATATTCCCTTTCTCCTGAGTGCTGTACTGTTGATATTGATGAATCATCATGTGCTTTTGATTGCTAGAATATTTTAAGCAACAAAAGCCAATCCTCTGGGTGAACTTGTTAACAGCACAATTCACAAGCTAACATCTATTACAGCTTTTTGAATGGATGCAGTGGACATGGACCATTATAAATTGCCAAATGAAATCATGTTCTTGAATATGATTATTCTTTCTATATGAGATAGTGTCTTATTTTTATTATTATTATTATTTTCTTTTTATATTTTACCATCCATTCTTATTCTCTTGCTTATATTGCAGAGGAGAGGGAGAATCCAGAATTGTTGGCTGAATCTCCCACCAGGAGAAAAAGAATTGCTCAAGAATCTGGGAAAACAGAACAGCAGGTATGCTCAATTGGTTTTTTATGTAAGTTGATTTATTTTATCTTAAATGTTCTAGAACATAGGGACACCTTATCTATGTATATGTCAAATATTTTCTTTGCTATTTCATATGGGCTTTGATTTATCTATCAATGTTAGGTAAGCCAACTTGTTGCTCAACTCTTCCAAATGCGTGTACGCATGAAGAACTTAATGGGTGTAATGGAAGGTGGATCTATTCCTGCACTGAGCAATCTTGAGGACGCTCTTAAAGCTGAACAGAAGGTATCTTGATTACGTGTGCATTGAGACTGTCCTTTTTTCATCTAATTCTAATGTGAATGGAACTGAGCATGCTTATTTTTTCTACCGTTGTTTTTTGTTCTGCCTTGGGACTTTGAAATGCAAGATTTGCATCTTGAAAACTGTGTTTATTGAAACGTTAAGTTTGATAATCTTACATGGGCTTTGTCAATATTTTTCGCATCATGTGACATGATACTGGACAATAAACTGTTCTAACTTTTCTTGTTAAATAAATTTGACCTTTAAGAAGTTAGAGATGCCCATTCCTTTTGAAGGGATAGTTAATTTTTTCTTTCTCGTCATGGTCCATGAACTGATATTATTCCCAAAGGCAGATAAGAAAATTGGTCCATTTCAAGTTCTCTTTGGTCTAGAGAAAGTTCCATGTAGCAAAACTTTTGCAATTTCTGTGTTTTGCATATATGCTGTATACTTAAAGCAATTCCATGTTTTTTTAACTTGTATTAGGCTCCTCCTGGTACCGCAAGGAGGAAGAGAAGATCAGAATCAAGGAGGCAGTTTGCAGACTCAGCATCAGTGAGGCCAAGCCCTCGTGGCTTTGGTTCTGGGAACTAGAGCATAAGTCCATAAGCATTGCAAAGAATGGAGTGGGCTTCAGGGAAACTGGTCATATGACCTTGAATTGTTACTTTTCCTCAGATATCTATCTCTACACATGAAGGTAGATTCCCAGAACCATTGAGCACTGAAAATTCATTACATTCTAAACCTGCGAATGCTGTGGTAGAGGAAATGACGTTCTTGCACCAGTAAATGCAAACCGAGCATGGAACAATATCAACATGTCTTGTGTAGAAACTTGGATGTATGCTTACAATTGACACCGCCATTAACTAGTGAGATTGAAAAATGAATATTGTGAAAAGCAATATAAACACCTTTAGTTGATGCTTGTTTATTGCCAACAGTTTCAATCTCTTGAACCAAATTTTCTCATCTTAACACACATGATTTAGATAGCAGTCAAAAGAAATGTTTTATTTCCAATAATTTCCCTTTCGAAGTTCATGGTGATTTAACTTCTTGTGGATGAGCAACAAACAAGGAGTAACAAATAATATTATGACTGGTTTTAAAATGCCCAAATTAGTGAATTCAAACAGATTTTACCACGTTTGAGGATGAAAGGGAGAACCCATAAAACAGTAACAATTTTTCAGCATCTGGGTCAGTGACACGTGGTGGAAAATTACACTCTCTTCTTCACTAGCAAAGTCAAAGGACTAACTTAAAAGAAAAGAAAGTTTTTTCTTACAAGGAAAATGGCAAGCCCGAATGAACAAGCTGATGGAGGGAAATTCCCAGCTGCTGATATTCATGGAGAATTGAATCCTGCCCAAAACATGGATGTAAACGTCGATCCTGTATCTTCTCAAATCACTAACTCATTGCAGATCAAGGTATTTCTTTATTTGTAACTCAATTTTGTTCTTAAAATATTTATGACCCTCATTTTTGTTTTATGTATTTTTGTTGTTCTTTGCGACGCTTGGAGAAGAAGCATACTTTTACAGTATCCTGTGTATTGCAGAAAAATGCTGAAGCTGCAGAAAAGAAGAATCAAAATGCAAAGAGAGATGCAATGCAGAAGCTCAAATCAACTATTATAATCTCAGCAGTAATTGTGGCTGTTGCCGGGGCAGCCTTTGCGGTAACTAAGAAATTGAGAGATAAATGAACATTAACATCAACATATCTGCATTAACATTCAGATTGTAGTATTTCTGCATTCTTTGAGTCATTCAATTGCTTCTTCTTTAGTTTCCATCTGTTGGAAGGAAGTAGAACATTTTTTTTTTAATGTTGAACTCGAAATCTCAAAATCTCATAAATAGAAAACTATCGAAGATGCTGAAGAAAATCGATATATATATATATATAAGAAGAAATACAACCACATATCTCTGATCAAAGTTGACTCAGAAATAGTTTTGTTTTCGGCTCTTTATTGAGAATCTTGAACCTTTCTCATCAAAGTTGCGTTGGTCATTAATCAAACTATTTACAATATCTCTGATCTTCCCATTCAATGTCTCATAAACTAAATCTCGAAAGTATTTATTTGAACAACTTGGATAGTTGGAACTCCCTTCCTGGAGACTTGGTAACGATCAAGATAATGGAAAATCTTTAACAGCCTGCGGCCAATAAGATTGTGCTTCTGCCATTGTTTGTTAAGTTGCTTGAGCAAGAAGGCACCTCGCTCGTGTTGCAAGGAAGGGATCACGAATGTTATCTTCCAAGACTTGGCAGTTGTTTTTATATAAAGTGACACTGTAGGGATCCGATTTGGCAGTACAAAGAGCATATGTGACACTCTAATAATCCATGGATGATGACAGACGACTCTGAAGCATTGATAACGCTCGAGTTTATAAATGGCTCCCTAGAAGTGATCCCATCGCTTCTTGTAACCTACCCTTCCATTGCTTTTGCTTTGAAGATTACTGAGAAATTCTTCTGCTGGAAAAGAATCATGATGGAGGAGAGAAAGGAGCAAGATTTATATAGGCAAAGAATGGCAAGGCTACTAGGAATACTAAAGAAAGTGGGTTTACTTAATTAAATACTTTAACTAATCAATTGCCTATTACATAACAGTTTAATTCCATGAATTTGCAAAACACCTTTGAAAGCAAAAATTGCAGACGTCTTTCATTATATCAAATGCTTTACTTACAAGCCCCATGAACAGGAGTTTCTGCTACTAGAAGCAACCAAAAATGTTAACACAGAAAAATAGATGATAATATGAAGAGACAAATTTTGGGATGGTTGCTAAAACAAACTCAATCTTGAGATAAACTCTAACAATTAATAATTTAATTAGTTGCAATTGCTTTGCTTGTTTCCAGAGCATTTTAATAAAAGGTGCTGGTGATAGCGGTGATAATGACAATAATATTAAAAATCAGTTATATTTAAAATCCTTTTCAAGGCATATTCCATAATCAGCAGTCAACCCAGTAGACTTTTATCGAAAAATTGGATTACTTTCATTAATTTTTTTTCTTAAAAAAAAAAAAGAAAAAAGAATGAATGAACTAATAACCAGCTGGTTCCACTATCATGAAAACACTGAATAAGAGGGATAAATGTCAATCAAACTTTAGCAATAGTTAACTCACAAAACTGCTACAGAGGTTCCAGAGAATTTCCAGGTCAAAATCCAAAGCAACACAACTTCGTGATATACTGCACCAATGTATTTACATTGTCATAGGGCGTAAAACATCTTACGACTTCATAACAATATACAAAATGTACCTCAGATGAATGAGTTTTTGTATCCACCATTTGCAAGCTGACAAAGCTGATTGTAGTTATATGTGTCTGCCAACATTTAGAAAAAAAAGAATAAAAGCGTTTTAGAAGTCACAAAAGGAGTTAGTACGCTCAGATTTGATCATTGAACCTTAAGATACAAAAATTCAAAAAAAAAAATTATTAAGTCCAAATAAGTTGAGTTTTCATGGTCAGACCTGGTTGTGAGCAGCGAGCTTGGAATTTTTGAGGGCACACAAGATGAAAATGAAAGGATTTGAGGCATATGGGGGCTTCAAATAAGCAAATCCAATAGAGCAGCACAACACCATTTTATGCTTCCCAACTTTTAACAAAGCTAAACACAGTCATTCCGTAATAGTTCCCAGTTGAATAAGCCCCCAAACTCATACAAGGGGAAATTGAAAGGAAACTCAAGAAGAGGTTGGTTCCATGAATTTGCAAACCCCTCACAAAGCAAAAATTGCTGGCTTCTTTCATTAATTCTATTCACCTACACCTTTTATTAAAATGCTTTACAAGCCCCATTAATAGTAGAGTAGCAGCAAGTGGAAGCAGCCAAAGATAGACATTATGAAGAAACAAATTTAGGGAAGATTACTCCAGGAAATTTTATCTTTAGGTTTTAATAGTGACTACACCCACCAACCAACTAATCTCATTCAGTAAAAGCAAAAATTTATAACTGACAAATTCATGAAAGGTAAAACTAGCTATATCTAGAAAAACATCTGAAGTAGTTCAGTTCTAAGAAATCCAGAAAAAACAATTCTAAATCCAACATTCATGAAAAACCTTTACCATTCTATACCTCAAAATGAAACAAAATATTAACAGATAAAAGGAAAATACACAGTCATGGAAACACCCTAAAAAGAAAAACAAAATAGTATTTCAACGCTGCATCATGTCTAATTCTACAGCCAAAAAAAAAAAAAAAAATTAGACCCTGCATTGGAAAATTTTCCCGTTAACTGCCACAAGAAACCCCGTAAATCTACAAAATAAACCCAAATCTGTCGCACATATCCTCTCAAAACAAAAACCAAATTTGAAAAGTTAAGAGTCCAAATTATAGATAGCAGGAAATAAAACCTATCTTTGTATTCTGCCATGGTAAAACCTATCAAAGTATGCATATGGTTGAACATCATCAAACATTTTTCTTGACATCCTGATAGTTTCCCGAAATTGGCATCCAAATAAATCTTGCTTATATTCACAAATCAGAATAACATAGAAATTTCAAATAGGCTTTAATTTATGCAAAAAATCATATACATACAATACAATTACCATCTTATTTAGCTGTATCCTTATAATAATTATCTCTTCCTTTCAGCCAACCGTAACCGCATTTCAATCAACCTGGCATCAAACTCCCCATCACTAACTGTCAGCATTTTCGACAGCGGAAGCTTTAATCCATGCTCAACCAAAACCCTATACCTGGGCTTAATTTTCTTCTCCAAACTAAATGAAAAATACTGCGGAAACTTCTTGATTTCCTCCAAATCCCCATTCATTTCCTCCGCCAAAAACTCAACTTTCGGCACCAAATTATTCTCCACACTAAACGTCAACAACCCAGGTGATCTTATCACCATATTCTCCACCGCCTCATCCGAAAACCCCAAACTCTTTAAAAATTCAATCTTGGGCTTTAGCGTCCGCTCCACACTGGAAACTAACAACAACGTTGTCTGACAATTAATTCTACGAGTACCCACGAGGCCCAATTCCTTAAGAAACTTAAACGCCGGACGCAATTGGGTTTCGACATCGGTGACCAACAGACGCGGACATCGAGTGATTGACTTGGGAAGATCGCCGGAGGGGATGAGGACTTCGTGGAGGAGGAATTGAATGATTGGTTGAACATCGGAGTGAATGTTGGAGGTGAGGAGTTTGGGGTGCATATCGAGAATGCGGCCGAGCGCGGGGCGTGAGAGACCAAGAGAGAGGAAGTAGTCTTCTAGAGAAATGAGGGAGGCGAGAGGAGTGGAGCGGAAATCAGGGTTTTGGTTGAGGACTTTATGGGGGTTGACGTTCAGGGTCTGAAGGTGGAGAAGTTTCTGGCGGAAGAGGAGGCCGGCGGGTGGTGGTTGTTGGGAGGTTTTGGTTGGGTTTAAGGAAGAGGAAAGAGACGGTAAGGGAGGAGGGAGATGGAGTTTGGTTATCATTTTGTTTACAGTGAAGATGAGATGGAAAGTCTCCTAATCTCGTTTTCACTATATTCTACCGAGTAAATGTTATTTTCATTCCTGAGGTTTGAAGAAAGTATTATTTTGGTCTAGGACTATAAACGAGTCGAACCGAGTCGAGCTTTTGGCTTATCAAGCTCGGCTCATTTACTACTAGGTCAAGCTCGAGCCTGGCGAGCCTAAGAATTGAGACTCGATCTACAGGGTCAAGCTCGAGCCTGGCGAGCCTAAGAATTGAGACTCGAACTCGAGCTCAGTCGAGTTCGAGTCGAGCTCGAGCCGGCTCAAACTCAAGCTCGCGAGCCCCTACCGAGCTCGAGCTCGAGCTCGTTCAAACCACCATTTCTCCAGGTTTGATCGAGCCAATTTCCCTTGTTTTACAACAGTCTTCCTGCGTACAACATTCCATCTTTACATCCAATGTTGAATTAACCATGACAGTTTCGAACTTTACAAAATGCCTATTACTTTACAAAATCAAAAAAAAGTTCCGAATATATACAAATAACATTCCAAGATATGAAAATACAATCCACCAATCAAAATCACTATCCACCAGTAGTCTGCAGTAGGCCTGTCTTCGACCAAAACCACAATTTTCCCCTGGCTGTATAAAATGTTCAATTTAGTAAGTATTTTTTAAGGTAACTATGATAAGAGAAAAATATGTATAATCATGAAACAAAAGCAAAAGGAATCAAACTTTTACCTATGCATGCCTCCTACCACAGCCAAACCATGCACTAAATCCCAAGAACTTACGGGATAGGAAGGTTGATCTCCAACGGTTGATGCTCTTCCTGAAAATGACAAATGAGGAGTAATTGAAGTTTAGTTAGTATAAATATAAAGTAATAATTAAATTTAATAAAAAAAATATTCAATATAAGTATATAACCTACTTTACCTCCTTTCTTCACCCCATTCAAGGTCCTGCTCCAATCACATCCACATAAGAGCATCTCCACCGTGTTGGAAGTCAATGACGATCGGTACGTGTCAATAACCCTACTGTCGAAGCTGAAAGCAGATTCAGAAGCAACCGTAGTGATAGGGATGGCTAATATTTCACGAGCCATGGTAAACAAGATAGGGAACTTTGTTGAATTAGCGGTCCACCACGTCAAAGCATCAAACGCCATAGGGTCCCCGACACATTTATGGCATCCCTCTCCTTGGTAACAATCTAACTCTGATTTCGTTGGCTCAATCGTCTCAACCACATCCAAAAACTGAACAAAATCATCCCAATCATCGGCCCTCTCTGCCGCTGCCACTGCCTCCGACCCCTCACCAATAACCTCAATTCCATCCCCTGTAGATGCAGAAGCGCGAGCAGCAGTTAATGCTTTACTGGCATCAACATACTCCCTATATACCTCATACAAGACATCTCAAACAACATCAATATTTGCTAGCGCTTCACGTTCAGGATACATCTTAGGGAACACCCATTGAATTACCCCCATCTTCAGTCTGGGGTCCAAAATAGCAGCCACACAAATCAATAGATTACATTCTCCCCAATATTTGTCAAACTTTTCTTTCATTTTCCAAATCATGGACTGTATAAACTCATCTTCATCCTGACTCTTACTATCCAACATAATTTTGATTGTACAAACTTGTTTTAGAAACAAGTTTGATGTCGGATAATCACTCCCCGATATGAGATTCGATGCACCACTAAACACCTTCAAAATTGAACAAATTTTCAACTTTGTCCCAATCCTCCTCCTTGGGACAATAATGATAACTCAAATCCCTCTCCTTCAAACAAGGAAAAACACGTCTAAATTTCATTGCCGTTGACAACATATCATATGTTGAATTCCACCGCGTTTTGCAATCAAGAATAAGCTTGCAAAATGGTAATCACTGCTGCTGAACAATCTGAAAACACCTTTAGTCTACTCTCCGATGAATTGATATATGCCACGCTATCACGGATATCCTCAATAATGTGTCTAATCTGATAAAGACCATCTTGAACAACCAGGTTCAAGATGTGTGCACAACACCTCACATGAAACATCTTGCCCCCACATAAGAGTTTCCCCGTAACATGGAAATTATCTTTCAACACTTTTACTGCAACATCATTGCTGGAAGCATTATCCACCGAGATCGTGCGGACCTTAGCTTCAATTCCCCACTCCATCAAACACTTGAAAATTGCATCAGCAATGGCAACACCAGAACAGGGAGGGGGGAAATGAATAAAGTTCAACTCCCATCTATTAAACTTCCAATTATCATCAATACAATGCCCAATCAAGACCATGTATTCCATCCTCTGGTTGCTTGAATGCCATAGATCTGTGGTCAGACTTATCTTCCTAACACCCTTCAATAGGGTCAGCAACTTCTGCCTCTCATTTTCAAACACTCTCATACAATCATTCTTACAAGTATTACGGGATATCAGAGTCTATTGAGGAATCCCGTACTTTATCATGTTGTTCAACCCCTCTTCCTCTACAATAGAAAACGGATGCTCATCCATCAACACCCAATGTGCAATAAGCTCCCTCATCTTCAACATATCGAGTTGGCCTCATAGAGTAGGCAGGATAGCAGAGCCATCCTGAGAACTAGAAAAGAGGGGAATTTATTTGTTGTTGCCTCAAGTTAGTTGTTCTCTTCGCACACCTTTTTAAATGTCTATTGAATTGTGTTGTGCTTCCAGTGGCAGTCGTTTTCAGCTTTGTTTTACAATGAATGCACTATCCCTTCCTTGTACCACCAAGGAGAACCACCTTGCTAAATTCTAACCACACAGCTGATGTCTTCGCTCTCTTCTTCCTCTGTAGTGGACTGTCATTGTCCTCTACATTTTTAGGGCTACTCACACTTTGCTCTGTACCACCTGTGCTTGCATAAATGTTATGCCGATCGACTGCTCTTACCGTAACACAATCGTCGACGTCATCCAATGTATGGGTGCTTGAAGAACTGTCTCCCAAGGCCATACCTACAATTGAAAAATAAGACACCATTACAGAGCAATCTTGATTATTGGATTGTAAACTAATAACCATTCAAACGTGTAAGGGAATTTTAGGGCCAAGCTGATTAATGAGGAAAGCAGGATGATTCATTTTCAAAATTCAACTGCATGATACAGATGCACCAAGGCACTTTATTATCAAATGTAATATGCATCACCTATTCTTACAGAAATCTCAAAAAATCAATCTGCTGAAAGCTAAAGAGAGATAAAGCACAAGTTTTGGTCAACCAAAATTGAAACATCATCTCAGATTAACCAAATTGAAACAATCAATCTGCTGTGGGCAACATTGCAGATGAAAACTCGACAATGCTTCAATCCTATGTAAAAATATACTTTCAAATTCATCAGGTGGTAACCATATTTATACAATTCATTGTTCTCCTAAATGCTTACCATTCATTAGTGTTGGTAGTTAAAAATGGATGACTTGTGAGAGTTCTTAATAGGACAGGCACACATGCACTGTCAAAAACTCTATTATTGTTGTTTCATGTCCACAGCCTGACAGGGCATCAGGTTGCTGAATCCAAATTACATCACATTACATCCGAATTTCAATTCAATTAGAATGACAAAAATTCTTTATCCAAATTACATTTAACTACAGCCATTACATCACATGCTTTTGAAAGACACCTCAGGGATTGTTTTATTTTTTATGCTCACTGGCTTTAACACATGTTATCTATTTCTTCTAATCTTGTCCTGTGCCTTTATGTGTTAGTGGACACTTGAAAATAAACTGAAAATCTTCATAGAGTGAGCAATTAATTACCACCTCAATGAATTCAAATAAAAGTCATAATTTGATTATAGGATCTACTGATCTCTTGGCATGTAGAAACTAAGAGAACTTTTAGCTTAATATAGTTTTCCATTCTTGATGGGTCTGGAGTTTTGAAAGAATGTTATATAACTTCTAGCACACATTGTTTTAACTGATCATTATGCAAATGTGCTTTAAAAGAAATCAATATTCTTCTTGTAGAAAACAGAAAATAGGAAACAATTAAAAAGCAACTTATATCTCAAAGATTACAAGTTACAACAACAACACCATACCTCGTCCTTGCCTAGCAGTTTCACAGTGGTGGCTGGTGCGATTGGGCGATTTCGGGCAGTCGATTTCACGGTGGTGGGCAGTGGGCTGTTGGTTGGTGCAATTTCGCGATTTGGGGGTTTGTGTGACTCTTTTTCCAATTGCCGAGATCGAAGATAGCGACGAAGATGACTGATTTCACGGCGAGGACTGGTGTCTGATTCGCGAGTTAGGATTCTTTGTTTCTGATTTGGGAATTAGGGCAAGTGGGCAACTGAAATTGATTTGGGGATAATCGCGTTATACGATTTTGCACTTTGGGGTGAGGGGGGTAAATGTCATTTTTTTAAAGTTTTTCACTGAAAAATATCAGTTTAATACCTCATGGTTTAAAAACTCACCAAAGCACCCTGCGTAAGTGCACAGTGTATACGCGAGCCAGACCAGGCTCGTGAGCCCACGAGCCGAGCTTCACTATGTTCGAACTTGACTCGGTTAATAAACCAATTCGAGTCGAGCTTCAGACGAGCTCTAGATGAGTCGAGCCGAGCCGGCTCGCGAGCTACTCGACTCGTCTAACAGTCCTATTTTGGTCCAGTAAAATCTGAAAAGGGAAAATCAGTTTTTTATTAGTTGAGGAAAGAGGAAGAAGACAAGAAAAAAATACATAAGTAAAACAAATTAGTTTTAATTTATAATTTTATAAAAGATAAGACTAAGTTAAAGGATAAAAATGTTATTTTACATATGTAATAATGGAAGTTTTAACAGAAATTGATGGAAGGGTAGTATTTAAATATTTTTCAAAACATCAAGGGTAGTTTTAGTGGATGTGTAACAATTCCAAACTCAGAATTAAGTTCAGTTTCTGAAACCAGTGGTGGTAAGCAATTAACCCAATAATATTCAATCCATAATACAACTATTATGAAAATAGGGGTAAACAAGGAAATTGATTGATTTTAGAGGGTTTGTGAAGATTCAACTAACTTTGACTGACAATAGGGGGTCAGGAGCAATTTTC